TATATATATATATATATATATATATATATATATATATAAGATTTTTCGGACTATTATTTAATACAGTATGTCAGGCATTACAGGGTTAAATGCATTTTGAAATCTTCATTTATAAGTCAACTCGGTTCTTTTTTGATTATTTTTTGATTATTGCCTCTTTATTAAAGTTTGCTTATGGTCACCATTACCAAATGCTAATGTTTTCTATTCTCTTTGCAGTGAGTTATTACAGTCTTTAGACATGTGTGCCAGTGATCCTGTGGCCATCGCGCGCTGCTTTGTGGACAAGGTACTAAATACTAACTTAAACTAAATCTGACCCTGCAGCACAAAAGCAGTGTTAAGTCGCTGGGGGATATTTGTAGCAATATCCAAAAATACATTGTATGTGTTACACTTATTGATTTTTGGTTTATGCCAAAAATCATTAGGATATTAAGTAAAGATCATGTTCCATGAAGATATTTTGTAAATCTCCTACCGTAAATATATCAAAACTTAATGTTTGATTAGTAATATGCATTGCTAAGAACTTCATTTGAACAACTTTAAAGATGATTTTCTCAATATTTAGATTTTTTTGCACCCTCAGATTCCAGATTTTCAAATAGTTGCATCTCGACCAAATATTGTCCTCTCCTAACAAAGCATACATCAATGGAAAGATTATTTATTCATGATGTATACATTTTATATGACTTTATGACCTTTATGACTGGTTTTGTGGCCCAGGATCACAAATATGCCGTTCAGGATGTTCCTTTATAATACTGAATCATTTTCTCTCCTTTCCATTGCAGAGCGAGTATTTTGAGATCTACACGCAGTACTGTACAAACTACCCAAAGTAAGTGAAGCTCTGATTTAAATGGAGTGTGTTTGGACCAGATTATTCCTCTGAGTCAGTAACGTCCTTCATAAACCGCATCAGACGGACAGTTTGAGTGATAAGCCTGCTGAGAGGAATGATGCACACCAAGCCACACGAATCAGTTGTGTGATTATATAAATAACAACAGTATTGTGGTTGCAACAAAAGTAGTGGCCGAGCAACACACAAACGTAAACAAAGGTGTATGTTTGTAGAGTAACGCGGCTCAGCCAATCAGAATCAAGGACCGGAACTCTCCGTTTTTATAATATCGATTTTATTCGTTTTTGTTTTTGTATTTTATGTTCATTTTCTGCTTCATTTTCATATTAATTAAAATTGTAACTATTTTTGTCTTTTTATTAGTTTTTGATTTTTTAATGTCTATATATTTTTGATCATTTTTATTTCAGTTATTAGTTATTTTAGTACATCAAGTTAAACTAAATGAAAATGAGAAATGTTTCTTTTAAAACTAGCTGAAATAAAACAAGCTTTAGTTTTTTTTGTATGTTTGTTTTTTTTATTTGATGTATTATTATAGATTCAACATGACTGATAAAATTGGTGATGCATCAAGTGCCTCTTAAATGATTCTATTCTTGTTTTGAATTGACAATTTCTAAACTAAAAACATAAAAATATTTTTCGTAAAGTGAAACAAAATAAACTTTAACTGAAATAAAACAACTGATTTTACTTCAGCTAGTTGCCAAGACAGCATTTTTTCATTTTTATTTAGTTTAACTTGATGTACTAAATAACTAAAACTGAAATAAAAACTATATCGATAAAAAAAAAATTAAACAACAAAATTGCTAAAACTAACTAAAAGTACAAAAATAAAAAATGATTCAAAATAGAAATAAAACTATGATATTATCTCAGAAATACAAAAAAAACTGCATTAGAGGCTAACTTTCAACATCATTTTTGATGCATAAATTCCAATGCATTAGTGGTGTGATTATTTCTTATTTGAGTCTCCTCACAGACTAACCTGTGTGTGTGTGTGTGTGTGTGTGTGTGTGTGTGTGTGTGTGTGTGTGTGTAGTTCAGTGGCAGTGTTGACTGACTGTCTGAGGAATAAAACTCTGGCCAAACAGAAGAAGTGAGTATAATGTTTTGTAATGAATCTTTGCAAATCGCCTTTCCTAATAATGTGCTAATTAGCAAGTTTCACGATGAATGCAGCTTAAGTTTACAGTCTCTCAGAGAGCAGCTCGGAAGAGAGGGGTGGGGTCAGCAGAGCTCATTAACATTTAAAGGGAAATGCTACAAAACGGCTTGCTCTGAAAAGAGCTGTTTTTGACAGGGTAAAAAAGGGGTTTTTTACACTACCATTGAGAAATTTTAACCAAACTATGTTACAGACTTTTCATTAAGACCCTAAAGAATCATATCAACTTGTGGAAAATGGGCGTAGGATGAGCCCTTTAATACAAATAGCTAAAACGCAGCAAATTTGGCTAAAATTAAAACGAAAATGAAAAAATATTCAAATTAAAAACAAATTAAAAATGTTAATAAAAACTATAATAATATCTCAATTATTGTAAGGCAAGCTTATTTATATAGCACATTTCGTACACAATGGTAATTCAAAGTGCTTTATATAAAAGAAAGTAAAATAATCGAATATTGTAATATCTCAATTATTGTAATAATATCGCAAAAAACTTTTTCTTGTAGTTGCCAAGGCAACATTTCTCATTTTCATTTAGTTAAACGTGATTTACTAAAATAACTCAAAGTAAAACTAGAACAAAAATTAATAAAAACTATGTAGGCATAAAAACACACAACTAAAACTTTGACTAAAATTAAAATGAAATCTGAAAAATATCAACTAACTCAAATATTATTAAAAACTATAATAGTATCTCAGTGATACTAAAATAACACTATGAAATGAACAAATGTTTTATTTCTTCTCCTCTCACAGTGGTATGTTAATGACTGATGTTGTTTATCATGCACTCATAACACATTAATGGATGGAATATGACTGTATCCAGTTTCTGATGTTAATGAGCGTCATGCAAATAAAAAACATTATCATACTCTTTGATTAATTCTAATCTGAAGTCCTGACTCATGAGCTGAAGGATCTGTTCATTAATGGATCTGGGGCAGCACATGCTGTACGCATGCTTAACGATCACTGATTCATGATTCAATTACTGCACACGATCAGCCAACGACTGACACCAACCTCTTCTATTCTATTCTATTCTATTCTGTCCTATCCTATATTTATTCTATCCTAACCTATTTTTATTCTATCCTATCCTATGCTTTTCTATCCTATTTCTATTCTATCCCGTTCTGTTCGGTTTTATTCTATTCTATTTTATTCTATTCTGTTCTATTCTATGCTATTTTATTCTATTCTATCCTGTTCTGTTCTATTATATTCTAACATATCTGTGCTATGCTATTCTATCCTGTCCTGTTTTATTATTTTCTATTCTATTCTATTCTATCCTATTTTACTCTGTCCTGTTCTGTTCTATCCTGCTCTATTCTATCCCATTCTATTCTATCCTGTTTTATTCTATCCTATCCCATTCTACACTATTCTATTTTATTCTATTCTATCATAGACTATCCTGTTCTATTCTATTCTATTCTGACATACCTATGCTAATCTATTCTATCCTCTTCTATTCTGTGTTATGATATTCTATTCTATTCTTACCTGTTCCATTCTGATTTATTTTATGCTATTCTATCCAATCCTATCCTGTGCCATTCTATCCTGTTCAATTCTGTTTTGTTCTATTCTATACAATTCTGTTCTATCCTGTTCTGTTCTATGCTATTCTGTTCTAACATACATATGCTAATCTATTCTATCCTCTTCTATTCTGTTTTATGCTATTCTATTCTGTTCTTACCAGTTCCATTCTGATTTTTTTTATGCTATTCTTTTCTAACCAATCCTATCCTATGCCATTCTATCCTGTTTTATTTTGTTCTATTCTATTCTGTTCTGTCCTACCCTAATTAATTTTATTCTGTTCTATTGTGCATGCAGGAGATCCAGTCTCTGCTCATAAACTGGAAGGGTCCGGATCTGACCACATACGGCGAGCTGGTTCTGGAAGGAACGTTTCACGTCCACCGCGCTAAAAACGAGAGAACCCTCTTCCTGTTCGATAAGATGCTGCTCATCACCAAGAAACGAGGGGAACATTACGTCTACAAGACTCACATCTCGGTATGTGATGTTATTCATTCTGAGACCGCATCTGTTATTTAGACCAGGGACTCCTAAACCTTTTTATGAGCCAGAACACCCCTGAGATTTAAAGTTAACGTTTCAATGATGCAACAACACGTTCACGGCTGGTTAATGCTAAATATTTAATTATTGTATTAAGTGTGTTTTTTTTATTTGTTGTTGGGTTTATTTTAAATGTATTTATTTGTTTCTATTTTACATTTTTATTATTTTATTCATTTTTAGTAAAAACTAATTTTTAAATGATTTATTCATTTACTTTTTTACATTTTCTTTTATTGTTTATTCATGTTTGATCAATAAAGGTATTCAATAAAAAGTATTACACTTTTTTTATTTTAAAAGTAATATTTTATTTCATTTTACATTTATATTACATTATATATTATTTTAATTTATGATGAATTAATTATTAGCTTTTCATCAATTCATGAACCCCCTGCATTTCCTTAACAAACCCCACTTTGAGAGCCTGATTTAGACCATTATCTCCTTATATTGTCAGATATATCCTCATCTGGACAAAAGCTTTTCCCACTATTATTGGTCCTTAATTGTTTGTTTTTTTTGTAAAAATAATATCTGATTGAGCTTTATACAGAGCCATTCTACCATCTAGTAAGTTAAACAACAGAAGATGTGAATTCAGAAAAGCATGTTGTTTGTGCGGTTTTCTTGTGTTCAGTGTTCCACACTGATGCTGATAGAAAGTGCCAAAGATTCGCTGCGCTTCAGCGTGACGCATTACAAGCACCCCAAGCAGCCGCACACGGTTCAGGTGAGTTTGAGATCACGGCCCACAAATGCCCAGTTCAAGCTGTTCAATCATAGGTCATTGTGTTTCTCAGGCCAGAACGGTGGAAGAGAAGAAACTGTGGGCTCATCACATAAAGAGACTCATTCTGGAGAACCATCACGCCGTTATCCCGCAGAAAGTACGTACAGTAACCGGTCCACCAATGTGTGTCTGAATCAGTGATACTGTAATAAACATGATCTGTTATTTAGACCAGGGATTCCTAAACGTTTTCATCCGCCAAACCCCTTTTAACTTATTTAAATAACGTAATATTTCAGTGATTTAATGACACATTCACTGTTCTGTGATGGTTGTTAATACTCAAATGGCATGCAATGAAACAATTAAAATACTTTTTTATTAAGTGTTTTGTTTTTATTTAAATGTTATTTATTTTCGTTTGTCATTTGTTTCATTGTGATTGTTTTTTTATTATTTATTTTCATTTTACATTTGTATTTCATTCTAGTTATTTATTTTGATTGTAAAATGGAAATAGCTTTAAAATAATTTTTTTTTTACTATTTTATTCATTTGAGTAACTGTTTAATTTAGTTTTTTTTTGTTAAATTTATTTATTTTCATTTGACTTATTTTATTAATTTTTGTCATTGTTATCATTGTTTTATCATTTTTATTTTGGTTGTTTTTATTTAAAAATTGTTTATTTTCATTTTATATTTCTATTGTTTTCATTTTTAGTGTTTTATTTTGATTGTGAAATGAACGTATTTTTAAAATATAGAAATTGTATTAATTTTTAGTAAGCATTTAATTTATATTGTTTTTATTTAAAAAATGTTTTTCCATTTTACATATTTTATTTAATTATTTTTTAATAATGATTTTATTTTGATTTGTTTTTATTTAATTATTTATTTCCATTTTACATTTCTATTGTTTTCATTTTTAGTGTTTTATTTTGATTGTAAAATAAACATGAAATAAAACAATTAATTTTTACTTAAAAATTTCATGTTTTTTTATTTTTAGTAAGTTTTTTTTTGTTTGTTTTTTTCCCCATTTTCATTATTTTATTCATTTTTAGTGTTTTGTTAACATTTTAATTTTATTTATTTTAATTTTTTTATTTATTCATTTTATTCATTTTTATTAATTTAATGTATTATTTTCATGTATATATACTTTAAAACATGAATGTTTCTCTCAATCAGCAATTTGGTAATAAATATTTGCCCTGTTAATTGCTTTCAGGCCAAAGACGCAATCCTGGACATGGACTCGACATGTAAGTTGTGTTTAGATTGATTTTCAAACAAGGTGCTTCAGTGAATGACTTGTTTTTGTAGCAAAATGACTTTTGAAACACTAGAACTCTGTTTCAGAACCTGCTGTTCTATTGTTTCTTCTCTGTCCAGGTCCAGTGAAGTACCGCTACAGTCCGGACAGACTGAAGAAAGCGTGTCAAAATGAAGATTTCTCCGGTGTGTTAAAGGAACGGAGACGCTCTGGTGTGTGAAGTGGTCTCTTCACTCGTGGAAATGAAAGCTCAAACTAAATTTCCATTGTAGAATTGTTTATGTTCTGATCTTGTCCTCCGTTTTCTTTGACAGAACCGGCTAAACGAACTGTACGAAGCACTAAAGGTAACGTCTTTATCTTGTTGCTTTCTAGTGTATTCAGTGGGACACAGAAGTCTGAGACCGGATCACATTTAAACTTAGAAACATGCAGAAAGTTATAATGTTTTCGAAACATTTAAAACACAAAATTCTGACAAAATTAAGCTGAAATGTATCATATAATGCGCTATTTCTCAACAGCTAGTACATGAGTGTCACTGATCTTGTGATTCTGTATTCAGACAGTCAGATTTTCTTGCTTTCATTGAATTTTAAGATGCTCAAATCATGCTGGAGATGTTCATCAGGATTCGTTCATGTTCATGCTGCTGTCGTTAAAGCAAAATGGATGCACAAAACAAAAATGCATTTCAGTTTTATCATGATAATGAAGTTTCTGACCTGCTGTATTAGCAAATATATTAATTTAGCAAAATAATTTAATCAATTTTAATTTTTTAAAATAATTTTTTATAATATTTGTATTAACTTTAACACATTAAAACACAACAATCAATATAAAATAAATAATATTATAATTACTGTACTGATGATTATTATAACAATTTTATACATAAATTATGTGTAGTTTTCTACATATATATATATTCTTGCTGTATTAGCAAATATGTGCATTTTTTAAATAATAGTCATTTAAATAATATTTTATGAACTTCAACAAATGAAAACAGCAACAATAAATAATAAAATATAATGATAATAATGATGCAATAATTATATAAATTTTATATATATATATATATATATATATATTCATTTATTTATTTTTAATTTTTTTATGCATATACGTATATTGTAAAATGCATATTTATATATATATATGCATTTTGCAATATATGTACAGTATATGCATTTCATAAAATAAATGCAGAACAAAATAATTGCAAAAAATTTATAGGATTTTGTCTTTATTCTCTTTATGTAGTCTTGATTGACTGACTGATTAAAGAAGCACTGTTAAACAAAAGATCAGAGATGCCCCTGATCAAATCGCTGTCATCTTGGGCTCAAGGCAGGTTCGTGGTGTTTGTTTCTGCTCATGTGGGAGACACGTGTCCCGTATGTTCTGCGCTCCCTCAGCCCGCTTTAGCATCAAAGCCACATCGACTCGACTCGTCCCTCCTGTGTCAGATCAAAGGCCGCAGCCCCGATCCTCCGCCCGCACACATAATGATGCTAATTATGGAGCCCATCGGCCGCAGGCTTTGTCATGCGCCAGTTCCTTTCAGTCCACAAACCTGTTTTTGGCTCGCTGTCAGCACAAGTGCATTATGCATTCTGATTGGCAGAAAATGGAAAAGCCAAGCCGTTCCATCTATTCTCTCTTTCTCTCTCACACACTCTGTCTTGCCGTTTTATCACCTTTCAAATTAAGTTTCCAACCACAGCTTTTCCTGTTCCTGTCTTGGAAATCAGCAGGGAGTGTCCAAGCTCTCTCAAGTAGCTCCATGCATCCTTATAGCATGCATTTCATTGCCAGTTGATTTAATTATCTTTGCATAGACCTGGCAGAGCACACACATTTATAATACCGTGTTATGTGCAACCAGAATATAAAAATGCATCATGTCCGCAACATGAAATCCAAGTTTCGTTCTAATTTTGGGGTGCTGATTTTAAAAAAAGTGCAGTTTTGTTGTAGCATGTCGGACTTATTCACAAAATATGGTGCTTTTTGTTGCATTTTTGCTTTTGACAACCACTTTTGCAGTGAAGAAGTCTTGTATTACTCTTTAATCAACAGAAAAACACCACAAACACATGATTCCTATGTTTATCTGAGCCAGATTACAATGATTTAATCAAGTCATTGTCAATAAAATAAAATTATTTTATGCCTAATCATGATTTTCTTTTTTGCCACATTGCAAATTAAATATATTTCGAATACTACTTTGTCATTAAAGCCGAAAATTTTGACATTTGACTGCTTTTGTTACTTTGATAAGTGCATTAAGGCTGATATATTTATTAGACTAATCTGCCTTCAGATCATTTTGAACTCTGCATCGTCAAATACCAAACACCAGGACTTAAAAATCACATTTGAAATGCATCTGAAGATAACCTGTTGCTAAATTGTTATATTAATAACATTTAATTTATCTTTGTCTTTGCATCATCTTAATCATCCATGGACGTCGCAACAGGCACGCTTAAGGTAAGATTTCCACATTCACTCTCCATTGCAAGCTTTTCACATTAAGTAAAGTAAAAGAAACGGCTTAAACTTACATTAACATTTATGCATTTAGCAGACGCTTTTATCCAAAAAGAGGAACAAAAGCAATTAGTCAAATGCATTTACAGTACACTGAATCACATTCATAAGAAAAAATGTTGTGCATATATTTCATAAATGCTATTCCAAACTAAATGCATGCAAAATCTTTATTGTCTATCCTCATGTAGTAGAAAACTGTCTTTAGACAAAGGCTCTAGACAAACAATGCAAAACAGCAATTCAGCAACAATTATAAACAAATATATTGCATAGAACCAACACAACTCTTGAAAACCTATAGAATTAATCAAATTTTAAATGCTAGAAAAGTTTTGCCAGTTTTGTTATATAAATTAGCTTTTTCATAAACGCCCATTGACATCCCATGACTTTTCTATGGCGTCCAGCATGCAGACAGCGAAGGTACTCTATTAGTGGATAAAGACCATCTTTCCATCCTGCCCACAACCGTGAGCTCAAACCCAGAACTCAAGACTGCGGTACCTGGAATGATTCAGAACGGACAAGATCATGAATCCAGCACAGGCTCGCTGGATGACAGTAGGCTTGAAGAGAAAGCAAAGAGCGCAGAGGACAGAATAGGAGGAGATAATGGAGAAGAGGAAGATCTGATGGGAGTCGAGCAGGTAGCAGACTTTACCAGTTCAGTGTTGGCCGCCATCTCCTGCTGGCATCATAGGGCTAAGGCTTTGCTTTTCGATCAGATCACCACGGTGAGGGTCACCTATCGCTTTCTGTTTCACGTCCATAACCTGGTGGCCGCCTCAGTGCAATCTGTCAATCACATCCCATCTGCTGCATGCTGAGACCGATTTCTGCTTTTGCACCCACAGATCTGATGATTGCATGAATCATTGCATGGACATAACTGCATGCATGGCCACTAATCACACATAAACACATTTCTCAATGGACACTTGACCTACAAATTGAATGCCATCTTCAATATCTGATTTTCAAAACATTTATCACTGATTCTCTGGGAGTTCGGACAAAACAGGCTGTAGGTCTGATGGCATTTTTCTACCTAAATGCATGTTTCTGCATCACTCAATTTGTCAATTCTGTCTGATACAGAAATGAATGTGTCAGATCATTATTATTATATGGTCAAATCTTCCATTAAACTTCAAAGAATATGTAATCACAGGTACCTAAAATTATATTTTTAAAAAACTCACCATAAACTCACATCAGGTGAACCACAGGGTTTTATGGGTTCAACGTGGAAATGTTATTTTCTAACCTAATGGCTGATGTTGTTTGTCCCATGTCTCAAGAATCAGTGTTATATTTCATGCCAGATGCGTCAATGTGCAAAGATTGTAATGCACATATGATGGGGAATTTACAGCATGTTGTGGTAACTAAGATTACTAAGATCCAATGCATAATAACGTCGGGTGTCTCAAAGTGTTTTTGCACTTGGAGCCACAGTGAGATTTTTTTTGATTGAAGTTCGACTTCAAACTGTCAAATTTTAGGGGTGGAGGTCAAATGGCTTGTCTTCCGTAATTAAATTAAACAAAGGTTCCTGTTTCATTGTGTTTTGTTTGATGGCACACAAAAGCAATTTCAGAAGGTCAGTTGTCTGTGGAAAAGCATTGAAATGCATGGATGCTTTCAAATGAATTGCAGATGTTTATGAAAGGTTGAAATATCACTACAGTGATATTTGACAGATGGCGACTGTGAACACTGTCATTCAGTAGAACATTTACATCTGTTAAATTCCTGTAATTTTCTGTGCTGTGTCCTTAGGACAGAGAAGGTTGTTGGGAAACTTGGCCAATGAACAAAAGCAGCCAAACACCCACTAAAGAAAAGCCTGATGATACGAGTAAAAGTTTGACTCTGTTTGAACAGGTAACGTCATATATTGAGAGCCTCAAAATAGATCTTTCTGTCTAGTAAACCTACAGTAGACAGAAAGTGCTGATAATATTCAAACTATACGCTGCTTTCATTGTCAGTGACTAATGTTTGCATTAAAATTAGCATTTGAATGTCTATGGGTAGACATTGTGTACAGCCACTATTGTACATTCATATTGAAATATCTTTCCTTTCTAATCTCTTCTAATAAGAGATATTGGAGATTGAATTAAGTTATCTTCACATCCTCTTTTCTTATCCTCTTCATAGCATCCTGTAGCAATAACTCACTTCATTCTGTCCAATTTCTAGAACTCAACTGGGGAACACAGTCGAGAAATCGGAGATAATGTTGAGGACAGTGTGGATTTCTCATCTCAGAAGAACCTCTCAGAAGATGTGCAGAACATGGAGGTAGATGTGGACGTTGAAGCACCTGGTGGCCTCTTGTCTTCATCCATACTGGACAAGGCAAGTGATATCTCAGAGCGATGTGCCAGCAGCCTCTCTCAAAGAAGTAGTCTAGGAGTCGAAGCGTCTTTTGACTTGGGCTGCCCGTCTTCTCTGTCGGAAAGTAGAAGAAGCAGTTTGCTCAGCAGTGGTGCTGAGCCCCACGAGAAAGACAAAAACCTAGAGTTTAGACGGTCCACTCCAGAACCATTAACAGAGACTGTTCCCGACAGCCTGTTTATACCAGACCAAAGATCTCAAATGAAACCGGATACTCTTTCCAAAAAGGACCGATTGCTCATACATAAGATTCGACGGTACTACGAACATGCTGAGCACCAGGATGCCAGCTTTGCCGTCAAACGCAGAGAGAGCCTTTCATACATCCCTGCAGGCCTAGTCCGTAATCTGAGCCAACAACTCGATTACCTTGCAGACCAGGATTTGGCATTGCATAAGAGGGCGTCTTCCATCACAAGGCCAACATTATGGTCTGTCTTTAATATATCAGGCTTGGGGGTTGACAAGAAAGCAAAGGATAGCTCTGATTTTCTGGTCCCTGCAAATGGCAAAGAGTCCAAGCTTAGAGATCAAAGTGGGAATGAGGAATTCCAGCCTGCATCTGACATGGTTAAAGTGTGGCAAGTCATGGAAATGGAGATAACTGGGTCTTCTGAACAACATCAGGACTCAGAGAATTCCCAAATGACTACACCTGGTGAAGAAAAGAAAGCAGAAACCAGTAAGGTGAGCTTGGATAGTGGACTTGGGGAACCTCTGGTAATATTGGAAGAATCCGATGAAAGCTCTACCTCACCCCCAATTAACATCGTCTTAGAAAAGGACAAGATGCAAGAGTTCCAGAGGCATCCAAAAGAGGAACACAAGTTACAAGAGCAGCACAAGGTCAACCACCCTCCTCTACCAAAGATCATCTCCTTAAGGTCTGCCAGTGAGGATGAACTAATCCTTCAAGATATGGAGAAAATGAAAAATAAGGTGTTCCAGTTGGCCAGGCACTACAGTCAGCGTATCAAAAACAACAGACCGGTAGTAAGGCAGAGGCCCAAGATCTTGGAGAACCATTTTTTGCCCAAGAACCTGTCTTCGGTCATGGAGGAGAGACCTCCAGGAAAAGAGAAAGGTGGGTGTAGTGTCTGAGTAGACACTTGCTAAGTTTAAGTGGTGTTCCTTCTGTCATTTTGACACTTTCTTATCCAAACTGACTGTTCACTTTTAGTTGAGGGACAATCTCCCAACTTGCAGTGTCTTGTCTGATGGCGTAGCTCAGTAGTTCCCAACCCTGATCCTGGAGAACCCCCAACACTGCACGTTTTTCATGTCTCTTTTATCTGAGACATACATTTGAGGTCTTGGAGTCTTATTAGCTGATGAGTTGAATCAGGTGTGTTTGATTAGGGAGACGTCTAAAATGTGCAGTGTTGGGAGTCCTTCAGGACCAGGATTGGGAACCACTGGCTTTTTGGTTACCAATCTAGACCATTGGTATCCCACTTATTTGCTTAAAGGCGTGACACTAGAAATGGATCTTGTACATTCATATCCATCAAATGCTCCATCAGAGCAATTTTTAGGTTGTGGATAGAGGTGGGAGACTGAAATCAAGTGGGAATACAATGAATTCCCAATGCACAAGTACATTTGCCTGTGTGATGTTCTCATTGGTTAATGGATTCCTATATCAGAGTGTGTTGCAGTTAAAGTTGTGGTTGTATGATCATCATTTAGTCAAACCCTTGGGTAATTCCTCTACCCCTGATGGTGTCCAAACATGTTCCTGGAGGGACACTATCCTACAGAGTTTAGCTCCAACCCTACTTAAATGAAAGAATGAATAAATTAAGTGCCGGGAAGTAACCCAAGGGTAACCCATACTCGGAATTTGTTCTTTGCATTTAAATCATCCAAGTTATTAGGAGCAGTGATTAGTGAACACACACCCGAAGCAGTGGGCGGCTATTTTTGCTTTGGCGCCCAGGGAGCAATTGGGGGTTTGGTGCCTTGTTCAAGGGCACCTCAGTCATGGGTATTTAAGGGGGAAGAGAGAGCTGTTGATTCACTCCCCCAACCTACATTTCCTGCCGGTCTTGAGAATCGAACCTCGAAATCGAGCCTGTATTGAGAATCAAACCTGCAACCTTCGGTTTACAAGTCAGACTCACTAATCATTAGGACACAACTGCCACCCACACCTGAACCGGAATCAAGGTCTTCATAGTCACTAGAAAGTTCCAGGTAAGTGTGTTTAAGCTAGTTGGAGCGAAACTCTACTGACCCTCCAGGACCAGGATTGGACACCCTTGCTCTACATCCTTGCATCCCACCATCCCCTTTAGAAATCAGTGGATTTGCAGTGTTCTCTGGTAAATTCTATTGTAAAAGTACTTTTATTTGTCAAAAGCAGACTTTTAACCACAGCTCTTTTGTGCACAGGCATTCCTGACAAGCCACTGTTGCTGAACTTGAATGAGCAGGACCTTATCCCGGACTCTACGACTACTAGTCCGCCTTCCAGCCTCTGTTCTCCTGGAAGTCCTCAGTTCCTCAATTGCAGATTATACGCTCAGAGACCACAAAGTCCTGTACAAACTGAGACCTTCCACTGGCCGGATGTCAAAGAGTTGCGTTCCAAATATAACAGCCAAAGGCAAGATGATGCATCCACTTCCCCTCGTCCGTTCCCAGTGGGTCGCAGTACTTCATTTTCAGAAAGAGCTTTGGAGACTGAATCGGAGAGATCCGGAGCATCGTGTTCATGGTCTTGTTCATCCCCTTTCTGCAATATCACAGTGCAGAGAACTACATCCATAGATTCTACATGTTCCAGCAAGACCATTGAAGGTGAAGGTTTGCCTTCGCTGTGTAGAGTTAATGCATTTGATTTCGGCTTGGGATCCACTAATGCACATGAGCAACTGGAGAGAGGTTGCGACGCTGGTCAAGATGAGAACAACCTCATTGTAGTAGAGAGGATCTGCAAGGCCAAACATGAAGAGGATGATTTAGCAATGGTTTCACAATCTGAATTTGCAATGGCAAACAGTAAAGAGCACAACTTTAGTGAATGGATGGAAAAAGCAGAGAACAGTCAACATAGTTTGGTTAAAAACCTGCGGGATAAATTTCAGAACCTGAATTCTTATACGTGAGACTTATAACGCAAACTTTTTTTACTCTTAACACTCAGAACCTTAAAATATCTTACAGCTAGCATTCCTCTCTCCAAAATATGTCATTTGGCCACTGTTTGAGAGGCTTAGTAAGTCTTACACAGGTTTGGTGTTCTGTGTTTTTGGAAAGAAAGCATGACTCTTCAATTCCAGTTATGAATTATCAGCAGATGTCGTCCAAACCAACTGGAAAAGGGATGCCTATGGACCTCAGAGAATATATTTATGAAATTTGCATTTGTAAATATATGTATATTAGCGTTTTCCTGTGTATATTTCATTGAGATGTAAACATTTGTTAAAGGAGCTGACTGTGGTACTGTAATTATTATTATTTTTTATTTTTTTGTAATGTTTGGAAAAGTGGTTAAATACGTATTTGTTCTTCCAGACATTTTGAAAAAAAAAAAAGCAATAAGGAAGAATATATAACAGGTCAGTGCATACTAAGTTACCAATGCGCCTATTTTTGTTAGAAATTTATTAGTACACACATTTTCACATGTTTCCGGAAAAGCACTGCAATATTAAATGCAATGTTAGTTATTTTGATTAAACGCAATGTTAGTTATTCACTGTTTGTGTTCAAGCTCTGACCAGAGGAAAGAGGGTAATCTCATAAAGATGTCATTCCCCACTAATGAGGAGAAAACTGGAAATCATAATCCGATTAGGCTGATGAATGATAAACGGTGACAAAGACTTGATGTCATTTTCAATCTGGAATGTTTTCGGTTGGGTGTATACAGTTAAAAATAGTCAAATAGTGCTCAGTTTGACCGAATGTTTGGTGTCAAATTAAAATGCTGCTCTTTTTTGACAACGTATTGTGCTGTCTTACTGTTGCTGATTTTTAGTTGTTTAAAGGTCAGATGTGATTCCAACTCATCTGAGAATTTGCTTTTTGAGCATTATGAGGTAATTCAAGTTAACGGATACGTCATTTGAGCAACATATAATGCACAGTCACAAAATGTGTTTTGGGTCACGTTTAATGGGATATATTATAAGCCATCTTATTTTTGGTTGTATTTTTCTGCTCATTGGTGGGGTTTATCTCCGGGCATGATGTCACTGTTATCTTGTATATTTAACCTTTTTTTATTTATTTGATTTGGTGTAAAAATGTCCAGTTCATATCCTATTCTTTTGATATACTACATTAAAAGAAACTTTCCATACTTTAAACATGATTTCCTTTGGCTTGCAGTGCTTCTGTGTTTGGTTTTTGTTTCTCTTTTTCTTTTCAGAAACCTTTATCAAAATGATTGCGCATGACTTGGGGGCGTATTACAGTTTAATTCGTTTCTGCACTTTTTAATCAGTCTTCAGGATGTGGATATGATTAATGACTTGCATGGAAGGAGCTGAAAAGCAACCTTAATATCGTCCTGAATTGCAGATCACTTTTTGAATGGATATATGGAGGCATATACCTTTTTTTAAAGCAGGTAATGATTTAGCAGATGCTTTTATATACTTCCAGGCATTTATTACATTGACAATCCTCCTGGATCAACACATTTTGGAATAATTACCTTTTTTTGTTTTTGAAGTCTCTTCTGCTCACCAAGGCTGCATTAATTTGATTAAAATTGTGAAATATTATTGCAATTTCAAATAACTGTCTTCTATATGAATATACCTTAAAATGTAATTTATTTCTGTGATCAAAGCTGAATTTTCAGCATCATTACTGTCACATGATCCTAAGAGATACAGTCCTAGAATAGATTTGATAGAAACTACAATATGCATTCATTATACCTTTGCATATTGTCATAAATAATCGTGAAATTGTATAATTCATTATTATGCATCTATTATTAAATTTTTATAGGAATACATTTTTGCACAACCATCATAGAAAGTGTTAGTTATTTGACATTAAGCAATTAGTTGAAAATATCTATATGATTTTTCATTAATACTGTAGACCTAGTTAAAGACTAAAAAGAGTCTACAAAGGATCGTTTACATGTTGTTGATTGATGATGATGATGAAGAACTCCTCCCCTCCCGCGGAGCAGGTCTCAGGTTCTCAGTCTCTCGCTGAAGCTCTGCCTCTGGACAGTCATGGAGAAGCAGAGCGACTAACCCGACCAGCTGACAGACAGACAGCTCACCAGCAGAGTTTATCTGAGAGCTGAGGGAGTCGTGCTGGCGTCAGGATGGGCTGCGCGATCTCTGGATCCGGAGTGACTCCGAGAACAGCAGAGAGCAGACACACTGAGGACGAAGCTCCAGCCAGACTCACTCCGGATCACATCCAGCTCATCAGAGAGTCCTGGAAAGTCATCCAGGAGGACATCGCCAAAGTGGGAATAATCATGTTTGTCCGGTGAGAATTTTCTTGTGAATTATTGCATTTTACTCAACTCCGGTTTATTTGTAGAGCGCCCATCGAAATACAATCATTTAAAACAGCTTTCCAGAAAATGCATGTTTCAGCTTATGTATTAAAGTGAGAACAAATCATTGTGTTGCACGTTGAATGTGTATAAGTGGTAGTGATATTTGATACCTGTTGATGTTTTGCATCAGATCAGCTCATTGACTAATATTTAACAATGTCTCGTCTGGAGTAGTACAGACCGGGCTTCTCACGCTTTTTACTAGGCTTAGCTATATATTTATTTTTAAGTAATATTGTATAGTCTCTTGACAGTGTAAAGCTATTATATATAGTTATATATATATGCATACATACATTGTGTATTGTAGTAGGCTATCATTTGTAAACTATTATTGTTGTATTATGCTTGAAATGAATTTTTATTTTTTTATTTTAATTTTTAATTTGTCAAATATCTAGTTTTTATTAATTTTATTTCACTTTTAGTTATTTTGGTACTTCAAGTTCAACTACAAAAAAAGAAATAAAATGCTGAAATAAAATAAGTATATATATATATATATATAAACTTTAACTTATTTTATTTCTTTTTTTGTAGTTTGTGTGTGTGTGTGTGTCTCTCTGTGTGTGTGTGTGTGTGTGTGTGTGTGTCTCTGTGTGTGTGTGTGTGTGTGTCTCTGTGTGTGTGTGTGTGTGT